TCATTTGCCCAAAGAAATTTTTACAGGAATCTGTAGACCATCCTTCTGCGACTCAACCACCAGAAGCTTGAAAACATGAATTCCAAAAGCAAAAGCAAAAACATGAATTCCATTTTTCTTTCTTCAAATGTATAATAAAACAATTATTAGATTTGGTTTTTGTGATATCCAGAATAATCAAGGTCTCGGTAAGGATTATCAGCCACAGTCTTAGGCTTCAGCTGATAACCTGTACTTCGACCTTGATTATTCTAGACATCACAAAAACCTCATCCAATAATTATTGTTCACTATCATTCAGCCATCGAGATTTTAATTGTAACAGCTAGCACTTCTGAGCAACTCCCCATCACCATTGTTCTTTACATTTCGGGTTATTCGCTTGTCATCTTCCTCTCTTCAAAATGAAGGAACAGAAAATGTTGGTACAGATAAAAATGCGTCAGCTGTAGCTTCCAGACAGAAAGGAGTGAAGGAAAAAGTTGATACCGAGGATTGACAAAAACCTCACAGACACTCGGCTGGAAACTCGAAGTGAAACCACAAATTAAATACGTTTTACACTGCAACCGAACTAGAGAAATAACAGGATAATTTCACCCAAACATTCTATCAAAACACCCAACATAATTTCAGGCAAAAACGATGGACTTGTCGAGGCCAAGGCAAGAGAATTTGAAGCCAAAAGAAATTTTCAACATTCGCTTCAAGGCGGAAGTGATTAGACTTCCTTTGCAACACAGACGAGAGCATTTCTACAGTTAAACTTCACACAAGTAGTTACTGTTAGTATACATACCTGGCAGCTTTATATATGATCATCAAACAACAAGTTGAAGAGAATATTTTGCCCAACTAACGTCGCAAACCTTCCAAGCGTAGCAAGCGCTTCCATGTTGTTCTCGTCAGCACAAATTTTCCCTTTCGCCAGAGACAGGGTGTCTCGTTCCAGGCTCCAACGGTTGCTGAGTAGCCTGCTAACAATCTCGTTCCCAGAGCCTTCGTTACCCTTGTCCAGCGGAACGGGAAACGAATCTGCTAACGCAGACGTATTTGCGGCCAAGTGACAGCCGGAAATACGTCTGCGTACAATTTAGCCTGGGAGCTTGTGTATTTCTATGGTTGGCCATTCGTTTCAAAATTACAACAGGGTATACGTGGGTTTTTCTGCCGCGTATACTCGTTTACATACGTTACGTATAGGTTTTAAACCTGTATATACGACCATTTAGATCGCGTATATCCGCATTTTTAAAGGCCCACATATTTGCGTAAACTCAAGCGCGGGGACATGCGAAATAAATACCCAAATATATGGGTCCTACAAAGACCCATATGTACGCGTGCTAAAATGCGCGCATACGCGGTCTCATAAATTACGTTGTATATGCTAGCACGAAATGTGCCTTTTGAGAGAATGGCTGTTCGTGTGTGACAGCAATGAAAATTACTTTAACTTAGGTGGCGGCAGTGGTAAAATGCCTTGTTTTGATCTATCTGCTATGTAATTTTTGTAACTGCAGCTCTCCAGAGACTGAACTTCTAGAAACAGTTATGCGTCTTTTAAATGGCTGTTCAAGATTTTGTCCTCACGCTGATTGTCGTGAAGTTACTGTGGATTATTCTGTACATCGTTTAGCTGATTCATTGGACAGAGGTGCCCAAG